CTTTTGAGTATGTCTTCCGAAGATATACCTGCACCATGAACAACATTACCTTTTCCGACATCTCTTGGATAAGATTCATCAAATGTTACGTGTACAGACTCTTCAACAGTAAGTAATCTCTTATTGTAAATTCTATAGGCTTTACTTGACTGAGAGTATCCGAGGAAGATACCTTCGCCAACCTTGGAGTCAAATTTACCTAAGCCTTTCTTTCCATTATTCAACACGAAAGACTTACAACTGAAGACATGAAGGTGAGAAACATTTGGCTTGCACCCTTTTAAAAGTTCATACGGTGTTTTGTTTAGAATTGGGCGGATAAGCAGCCTATTCAATACATAACATGTCGTACTTATGGCGTCAGCCCAAAAATACTTAGGTAATGCACTTTCATTGATCATGGTTCTCCCTAACTCTTCCAAAATACGAATTTTGCGCTCCACAACCCCGTTTTGCTGAGGGGTGCGCGGAGCGGAGAAGTTATGATCAATATCGTGTTTACCGCAATATTCCTCAAACAAATGGTTTCAAACTCACCTCCATGATCACTCCTAATTGATATTATGTTTGTGTTTAATTTATTTTGACAAAGCTTAGCAAATCTTTCAAAGGCTACGAATTTATCGCCCTTGCTAGCCAAGAAGATAGTCCAACAGAATCTAGAAAAATCATCAACTATTATAAAACCGTAATAGTTACCACCTAGACTTTTAATTCTAGATGGCCCAAATAAATCCATATGGAGAAGATCAAGAGATCTCGTAGTTGAAACGATGTTTTTAGATTTAAAAGAGATCCTCGTTTACTTTCCCATTTGGCAAGCATCACATAGGTGATCCTTGGTAAATTTAATTTTGGGCAGACCTATGACTAGATCTTTTGAAACTACCTTGTTTAGCAACTCAAAATTGACATGTGTTAAACGTCTATGCCATAACCATGAGTCCTCACTCATTGTCATGAGACATTTATCACTTGTCAAAGATACTTCATCCAAATCCAGCATATAGACATTGTTTACTCTTAGACCATTAAACATATCCTTCATTTTATCATTATGCGCAATTTGGCAACAATCTTTTGAAAATGATACATTGTATCCTTTGTCGCATAATTGGCTAATGCTAATGAGATTATGTTTAAGGCCCTCGACAAGCAATACATTAGAGATAGTAGTGGAAGAGGGATTACCTGCACTACCTTTTCCAAGTATTGCACCACGATTGTTGTCTCCATAGGTTACATATCCCTTCTTCTTTGCCACGAAGTCGATGAAGAGAGATATGTCTCCTGTCATGTGTCTTGAGCAGCCACTATCGAGAACCCATCTTTTCTCGGTGTTCTCAAGACGTTATACCTTTTTCTTTTTGTTCTTTTGATGGGCGAAAAGACAAACATTGACGGATTCATCTTCATCACTTGAGATTTCACCCTTGGAGGATTCGCTATCGCTTTCCCAAGCTATATACGCTCTCCTTGGCTTAGATTGCTTCTTATGTGATCTACTTGTTTCCTTTTCTTTGCCCTTTTTATTCAAGGGACAATCCGGTTTGTAGTGTCTGGTCTTTCCGCAAGTATAACATGACCCTCTTGTCTTGTTTCCTTTAGTGTCGTCATTTCTAGAGTACCTTGATTGTTTCCAGAAGTTGACAAGATTTTTTTTGGAGTGTTGGATGTCGTTCTTTTTGACATAACGGTTGTAACGCTTTACAAACAACCTCATATCCTCACTCTTGTCATCAACTTCGTCGTCACTCGAAGTGTAATCACTATGCTCCTTAGTTTGAGACTTTGAGGAAGAAGTCTTGAGAGCAATAGACTTATTTTTAGTATTTTTTATTTTCTCCTTCTTTTCCTTCTTTTCATATTGCTCTAGGCTTAGAAGCCCTTGTCCGTACTCTTGCAGCTTTCCAAACAATGTTGTGAGATCCAAAATTGTGAGGTCGTTAGCTTCTTTGATGGCGGTTACCTTCGGTTGCCATTCCCTGTTAAGACATCTCAAAATTTTGTTAGTAGCAACATCATTGGCAACTGGCCTACCTAGTGAGTGCAATCTATTGATAAGATGAGTGAATCTCTTTTGCATGTCCGCGATGGTTTCCCCTTGCTCCATGTGAAAGAGATCAAACTCTTGTGTTAGCGTATTGATTCTCGCTAGCTTAACATCATTGGTTCCCTCATGGGAAACTTGCAATGAGTCTCACATAAATTTTGCCATTAAACAATGAGAAACCCTATAATATTCATCAACTCCTAATGAGGAGATCAAAATATTTTTGGCTTTCCAATCGTAATTAAATTTCTTCTCGTCATCATCAGTCCATTGTGCTTCAGGCTTAGGCACAATCATGTTATTCTCGTAGGTCATAGTTATTTCAATTGGACCGTTAAGAATAACATTCCACACCTTTCGATCAATGGAATTAATGTGCACCCGCATACAGTCTTTCCAGTAACTAAAATTTTCTCCATTAAAAACAGGAGCTCTATTATAGGCCCCTTTAGGTTCGTTAGCCATTTTCTACTAAGTTATACTTGAAGCACGGAGTAAACCGGTGCTCCTGATACCACTTGTTAGACGATGGCACGGATCTAGAAGGGGGGTTGAATAGATCCCCTATTAAAAAATGAGTCGGCGCTACCAAAAAAAGTTGTTTTAAAAATTTGTTTAAGTTGCGGAAGCGGCCGTGGAAAAATACTGTCTATAATGAACGATTACTAGAAAATCGGATATGCGTTTTAGCCTATGGAATCGGATAACGAGTAATGAGAATCACTACGCTAGTCACACTCTCAATTTTGATTTATCTCACAACGTGGTATGACTAGTTCCAATGCCTTAAAATATTACCACAATAGATGGACAGCACACAAGGCTTTTCGTTCAGGCAATTTATCAAACACTTGGAGTGCAGCGCGCTACAAGTGAGTTCAGCTTTGAGTAATTTGCTCTAATTTCCTTGTACAATCAACGATTGTACTAGAGTCAAAAATAGTCCAGCACTTACTCAAAACAGTCCTAAATTTGATATAATTGCTTGTACTAAAACCACACAAATATTGAGCAATGTAAAAACGAAAGGTAAAAGGCACAAGGATTTGTTGAGGCAGTTCCCCCGCCGTCCTCGCTTTGGAGTACGTCTTCCCTCAATTCTAACAATAGAATTGAGCTCTTATAATATAAATTTAACTTGTTGTAGAATTGTATATACAAGAATGAAATAGCAATCAAACAAACGAACACCCTTGTTGTTGTAGACGCTATCTCCTCTTGTCCCTTGATTCGAGTCGAATTAAGTCCTTCGACAACTTGTGTATAAACCTCTGATTATAGCTCAATGTTTGAACAACCTTCCGTCTTCAAACCCCAGTCCGGCTGATCTCAAACACTCGCGTGTCGAACCCGAACTTCTTCTTCACAATTTATCGAGTACCGCTACTAGATCGACAGAACCCACCGCTCCTCGATCACCTTCACTCAGCCAAATATATGTTGAGAAGATTCGTCCAAAAACCCCCAAATTCAAAGAATCTTGGAGGACAAAACCCTAGAGGTTTTATTTAAGAAAAACCTGCCAATTCCTCAACCCGAACCGGATTACCCAATCACGGCTTCGAAAGTTATCACCTTAGACAATCCATAATGCACAACAAAGATTATTGTGTGTGGTTGTTGTGATATGAAATGTAGAAGATGAAGATGATGAGAACTTTAATGGACACCTCTTTCACTTTTCTTGTTTTTGTAATTGATTCAATTAAAAATGAAATGAATAGAGCAACTGAACATTTATACTAGACAAAATAGTCATAACTGATAAAACCAACTTTCAAAAATAATAGACAACACAAAAATTATGCAGCAAACAGCGAGCGGTCGACCCATGCAGAGTGCAGGGTCGACCTGAGCTAACCCGAGGCAACATATTGTGCAAAACAAGCAGCTATGCGTCGACTCAAAGCCTGATATTTTGACAAATACAAATGACAACAGTATGCGTCGACCGGTAGGTCGACCATACCAGACCCAAGAAAAATGTATTTCTAGGACACTTGCCATGAGTCGACCGGAGCAGAGTTTAGGTCGACTCAAAGACCTAAAACATCAAAAAATGATTAAATTCATATTTTTTATTCTTTTAGATGAAAGCAATGATAAACCAATTGAGTTAGACACGTATGACGCATATTTTGACAGCTCTAAATGCAGTACTCGAGATTTTTAGTGCAAGCAAACAAACATGAGAAACATGCTCGTGCATCATGGTGATAACGCCAAATGACTATCCTTCCATGCAGCTCGGTTTTGACATCATTGAAACACACATATCAAGTATTTGAGGCTTTGCCCTCACAAGATTTCATCTAGTGAAAAGGTGAAGCATTGTGTAAAAGGGTATTAAATAAGTAAAAGTGCAGTCAATGGTATTTCATGAAAGAAAGTCAAGAGAAAGTTAGTTAAAAACCCCCTCTTGAAACCAAAATATAACTCTTGAAGCTTATGCTTGATCAATCAGAATTGAATATAGGCTAAATTACTTCACTTAAGATTACTGGCATGACTGCAGAAATCATGTAAAACTCAAATAGTACCTACTTTATTTTTGACACGCATAATAGTAGTCTCTTATTATTTTATACGTCTATTTGTACTTGCAAACGTACGTTATACTTCATCTAAACAAAAATAATCAACTTATAACATTAAATACCTACTTTGCTATATTTCGAAGATGTATCTCCAAAATATTCATGGAGATGCATCTCCAATCCAATTCAAATGTAAATGGTTTCTGAATGGGTGGGTTGTATGAATGTTTAAAACACAAATTTTTTTTAAATCTCATGGTATGGATCAAAATTTTCTTAAAATATAAATATCCATAATGCCAAAATCATAATTATCAAGAATTGGTAGAAAACAAGAAATACACCAGCCAAGCGTACAGAACATATTTTAGATCTCCAAACATAATACTGACCACCAGTAACTATGATAATCAATATCTCCCCCTTCCTCCTCTTCCACGACCACCGCGGCCACCTCCTCTTCCACCCCTTCCTCTGCCACCATTTCCTCCATGATGATTTCCTCCACCACCACCAGACCTCTTGTTCCCCTCAGATTTCAATTGCATCCCTTCTGGCAAGGGACTTATGTGATCCACACACTTCCGGAAGCTGAAATCATCAGCTGTGTCATCATCCCTGATGAGGAAATAGCACCTACTTTTAAAGCTAGGGTGTTCGCGAACTTGGAAAGCACAAACCCCTGGGCCAATCTTTCTTTCAGATTCTGCATGACCATTCTTGAGCAATTCCAGCAGCATCGTGTGCTCGTACTACAATACAGAAACAAGCCAATGTAGATTCAGTAAGACAAAAATTAAAGTTGCAACTACTGATAAATCATCACAAGTCACAAAGAACAACAGTAAAAATAAAAATCTCTCATATCTAATCATGGCTTTAAATTCCAGTTTGTTACAACCACAATATCTATGGTTTAAGAGAAGAGGTTCACACAATTGTGCTAAAACTGCAAGATCAGCATTTATCTGTTGACTTTCCAGAAGATCAATGAGGATGGTATAACCGAAATAATCATTGTAATTCTAGACACTGATTGCAGGTTAAGCAACAAGTTTTCATTTTCACACAGTTTCAATACTTCAGCACCATTACATGAAAATAAGCCGTGAAACTGAGCTGTCAGCATCATTGTCGTCATACTATGTCACATGTTGAAAGCACTTATAAGATATTCCAAAACCAACCAATGACAACTGATTTTAATGCAGTTAATAAAACCTTTGAAAGGAAACTTCCATGGTAGATAGTGATAAATAGCACATGTTCTACTTGCAAAAAAGAAAGCAAAACACATATAGCATGTGTAAGATGAACATTAAACTTTGAGGTTCCACATCAGAAAAATTCAAAGTACAACGCGATCAGAGCATTAAACTTTGAAACTACACATTTGAATGAATCTACATATAGAGCAAACAGAGTCAAGAGCAACAAACTTAGAGCACAATATTAAGCTTTGAGGCTCCGCATTAGAAGCTTTAATCTCTCGGCAGTAAATTAGAGCTATAGTTGAAGATTCTCAAATCCCATCTAACATTAAGATAGCAGTTAAGACTGCATTGGTAAAGGCCGATCATTCATGTTCATTTAGAGATGTCAGTGCTCTTGATAGGTCTTCAAGAACAACATTTACTTTAAATTGAAATTTGATATCAATTAGACTAAATTTATATCAAAATGGTTTTAATGAAGAACAATTCAAACACGAATGAATTCTGTACAGAATAAATTTTAACCAAACCAATTTCACAATACTTCATTCAAAATCATATATTAGTCAAACTCTAACCAAAACTCAGTTTTCTTATTTAAAAAATATTAACAGAAAATCAATTGAAATACATTACTAGAAACTATCAACCACGGTAGGTCAAGAACGGTACAAAAACCCAAATTCAATAAACTAAAAATCCAATTGAATCACACATGCTTGACAATGGTAAAATAGAGAAGAAAAAATTTGAAGAAATACCTTGTTAACATTGAGATTATGAGGCCAAGCATTAAGAAATTTGTGGAAGTAATGAAACATTTCCACGGAAGAACCAAAGGTCTTGGGTCCCAATTTCACAGCTTCGGAGACTTCCTTTTCTTCATCGTCTTCTTTTTTCTCTAACTTCTCCAACCGCTCTTCCTCGACTGACTTTTCCTCGTCTACTTTAGCCTTCTTCGGATCGACATCATCTTCTTTGGACTCCTCTTCTTCCCTCGGTCGTTTATCCTTGGAATCAACGGCGTTTTCAACCTCCATATCGACGGCGGCAGCGCCGGTGTTCTCGGTGGTTGCAACGGTGTTGTCGGTATCGACGGCGGAGGCGGCGGCGCTGTTGCTATCAACGACTTCTGGAGCGGTTTCTTCTGCCATTAGGTTTTAGGGGAATTTGTAAAACCCTAGATTGTGATAGTTGGGATTGAAAAGACAAAGAGCACGCTCAGTGAAGCAGTTACTCTTTGCAGTTAAATATAAATGAATATTAGGGCATGCGCTCGATGATAAAAATATAACTCCCTTTCTCCTTCCTTTTCACACATTTATAGAAAACTTTTGTTTTATAATTATTTGGTATCCTTAATTATAATATAAAACGAAATAACCAAAAGTGAATTTTTTTTTAAGGGATAACATACTTTTTAAAATAAAATATCAAATAAAATAAAATTTTTAAAAAATTACGAAATTGGCTATGTTTGTAAGACGAGTCATCATATGAAATGGTTTATCCAGTCTCCTCAGACCTGAGTCGTCATTTCATATGGCGCATGGGTTAAAAAAAATATGTCATACCCTACACTAAGTCGTCATATAGTATGGCCACATAATCTCGATATCATTGAAACGGGGAAGCGTCAGCCATTTGATTTTCTTCTCTGGGTATGTGAGCAAAAGTGATATCATCGAAACGGGGAAGCAGTTTGGCCACATAATATCGATATGGAATTAAGTTTTCGTGCTTTGTATCCTAATCACCTCTTATTTGGTATATTACTATAGCAGAATCCCCAAACACATCAAGGGTTTTGATTCTCAAGTCAATGGCTTCTTCTAGCCTAGTATACATGCCTCGTACTCAGCCATATTGTTAGTGTCGCTACTGCGAAAATCGGCGCCGGCTGACAGAAGAGTCGTCACCGTGCGTTATTTATCCCAACGGAGGGAAAGGAAACGCTCGAAGTAAACCTCGCAAAAAACGGGGAAAAGGTATGGTCATCGCAACCAAAACCTGGGTTCGGGAGTCGGTTACGCAAGGGGAAGGTATTAGCACCCCTCACGTCCGTCGTACTCGACGGGATCCACGCTTGCTTGGGTTGTCTAAAGGATGCAAAACAATCTATCTACGGCTGCTAAATCTAAACGGAAGGGAATTGACTCGATAGAGCGTCGCACTCTATGCCTACGTATTCTCAAGAGAGAAAGTCAGAGTCAACGTAGTTCGGGACTACAGGGAAAATTGGCTCGCCAAGACCTCGCGTCTTGTGCCTACGTACTTCCACGCTGCATGGAAGATCAGAGCTTTACGTAGTTCAGACTAACTACGGCTAATCAAGGTATTCTCACACAGCAGTGAGAAAAACAACTGGTTTCAAAGGTACGGGAACCTATGGGCAAAACTATGGCTTGGTCTCAAGTGCACTCGGGCAAGAGAGAAAAAGGGTTACAATTAGTCGTCAGCGGGAAAGTCTCGATCGCACAGCAGCGAGAGAACGAAAGTCAGTCGTTAGTGTGCTCGCTAGGATATCGCATCCTATGCCTACATATCCTTGTCTGGTACAAGGAATCAGAGCAGCTGTAGTTCGGCTACTTCGGGACCACAACTCAAATCTCATTTTATTAATCTTCTGAAAAATGGGTACAATGCTTGAGTACTGAAAAATAAATCTCCTAGGAAATACTATCCTATCCTATCCTGAAAAATCGAATGGAAAATAGCCCCCTAACAAGTGGGCTTCTAAACTATCCTAAAATTGGTAAAATAAACTCCTATGAAAATATCTCTAAAAAATATTAAATCGACACTAATATTTTTTCCTTTTCCCTTCTTTTCTTTTCAACTATATATTTTTTCATATTTTTCTATGTCTTTTCATCTCTCTTTCTTTATTGTTTTTTTTCAATATATCTTTTCATATATTTTTCTATACATTTTTCTCACTATTTTTCCCATATTTCTTTCTCACTATTTTCTTTTTTCATAATATTTTCCCATATTTTCCTCTCTATTTTCTTTTTCTTTCAATATTTTTCTCTCTATTTTCTTTTTCTTATAATCTTTTCCTTTATTGTTTTTCAATAATAAAAAACTAAACAATATCAAAATAAAGAAAAAAGATACAAAAGAGGGGAGGGGGGTACCCAGCCCAGCTGGGGGGTTATACAAGCAAAACAAATAAAAAAACAAATGAGTTGGGCCCAGCCCAGGTCCCTTTCAAAAAAGCACACGGAGGGGATGTTTGCAAAAAATAAACGGAGGTGCTGGATCAAAAAACATGCAGTTGGGCCTGGCCCAACCCTCACGTGGACCACCTCCTTCTCCTTCTCCATTCACTCTGAAACCCTAGCCCTTTCTCTCTTCCTTTCACAGCGCCGCCGTCCCCCTCTTTGAACCCTCCTCTCTCCGTTCATCACCCTCACCAAAACTCTCCCTCACTCTCTGTTTTGAATCAACAGCCAATGATCCACAAAACTCGTATCACAGATCTACACAACCAAACTTTAAACCGCATCTTGTATATCCATAGATCTGATGAATCTGAAAGGGGCTTTTGGAGAAGTTCTGAAGAACCTTGAAGATTCTGGGAAGTCTAGCAATCTACGATGAACTTCGCTGCAGAATTCATTGAAGCTCTTGAACATTGAATGAAGATCTGGAGACGGTAGAGAACTTTATGAACGTTTCTGATGATTGTGAGGCTCGTTAAAGGTTGAGCGAAGATCCTTGGAGATCTTCACGAATGTTGTTGAAGTGATGAGTCTTGGAGATTTGGATAATGTTCTGGAAGAAAGATGAGGATCTGGTGATGAAGGTAATGAACGCACTTGAAAGTGGTTGAAGATCTTGATGAAGCTGAAGGATCTTCACGGAGAAGATGACTTGAGGATCTGGACGAATTTTGGAAGAACGGATGAACACGGTGGAGTTTCTTGATCTGAATGTGGCGAAACGGATGAATCTGGGGAAGAATCTTGCATGTTTCTGGAAACAAGATGATGAACGAATGACTGTTCTTGAAGGAGTGATGAAGTTGATGAAGAACTTCCGATGAATATTCTGGGAAATGATGAACTAACGATGAACATCTTGCAAAAATTGATGAAGATTTGAAGATTCTGGATGAACAACCGACACCGAATCTTGATTGATGATTATGGATGATGTTGATCGGAGGAGAAAAACTGGAGATGAGAGACGGATTTCTGGTGAAAAGCAGTTTCCGGTGAAATGCGGTGGCCGGAGTAGGTTAGGTGACCGGCGGTTGGTAGTTGTGGAGATGGCCGGAAAATGGTGGGGCGGTGGTTGCATGGCCGCCGGCCATGCAACCGGTGGAGGCTGGTTGAGGGACAAGTGGCTGTGGTAGTGGAGGCAGTGTATGCATGCGTGCCACGTGGTCTGTGTGTGGCAGTGAGAGAGAAGAACGGAGGGTGACGTGGCGTGGCGTGATGAAATAACGTGGGTCCTCCCCTGGACTAACACGTGGCTGCTTGCATTTATAAGACTGAGAAAATCTGGACCCTTCTAGAAGATTCTAGACTTGGCTGGACAATTTGCTGGAAACTTGGACTGGACAAAAAATGCATTGGGCCTGCGAATTTAATGATAAGGCCCACCGAAAATGATCCCAAAAACTAAAAAAAAAAAGCTGAATTAAGACTAAGATTAAAAACCTAATTAACTAAACTAAACTCAATTAATTTCTAATAAAACCTATGTTTAAAAGAAAATCTATTATTCTAATAAAACTATTAAAAAAACTATACTTTTCTATTAAAATCTATTTACTAATATCAGAAAAAAATCTATTATTATTCTATATCTAAAATTAAAAAAAATATTTAATTTCTATTAAACCCTATTATTTATTATTCTAAAAAGGAAAATGCTATTATTTATCTAAAAGAAAACCTCTTATTAATAAAAGAAAAACAAAACTATATTCTTCTATTAAAATGATTAAAAAACTATTAACACTATTAAAAACTATTAATATTCTAAAAATTCTATATTATCTTAAAAATCTATTAAATCCTAAAATGATTAAAAATCTATTTAAAAAGAATTAAAACTATTAAAAATCCTATTAAATCCTAAAAATGATTTAAAAGCTATTTAAACCCTAAAAATGGCCAATAAAATCCAGAAAAATCACAATAATTCCCAGAAGGACAAAATAAGCACCGAACGACACATAACACCGCGAGAGCGCACCAAAATAGCCGGTAAAAATAAACGGGCATCGAAATATTCCAAAAATACGATTCTACCTATCTAAACTAATTAAAAAACACCTGAAACACGAGACGAGAGCTGTGATCCCAATAAAATCAAAACAAATGCAAAAAATGCACTGTATGCAATATGCAGATGCGAATGCGGTCATGCGTCGAAACCTCGAGCCAGATACGAGACCCGGTTGGTCAAATTTTGGGGTGCAACAGCTGCCCCTATTCAAGCGGCTTGGACCTGACTGGGTGAGGAGCGAACGACTCTCAGCCAATCAAGGTGCGAGACGGTTGAATACCGGTAAACCCGAAAATTTGCCAACTGCTCAACTCGTCGAACACTGGAATAATAGCTGCACGGCAACTATCTGGAGAAATACCGATCTGACATCGCCGTCGGACAATCAAAATACCCCGCATCGTCGCTGGAGAACTACGTTAATCAAAATACCCCGCATCGCCGCTGGAGAACTGAAGGATCTGCATCACCTAACATCGCCGTCAGAAGATTGGATCAACTTGACATGCCCAACATCGCCGCTGGAAAACTGAGTCTGACATCGCCGTCGGAAACAAACATCGCTCTGAGAGACACTCGACGTCGCCGTCGTACAAACATCATCTCTGCTGGGGATTTACAAAGTCTGACCTCGCCGTCGAAACAAACATTCAACCTCGCCGTCGAACTCATTCAACATCGCCGTCAAACCAATCATAATCTGACCTCGCCGTCAAACAAACATTCAACCTCGCCGCCGAACAAGCATCATCTGACCTCGCCGTCAAAACAAACATTCAACCTCGCCGTCGAACAAGCATCATCTGACCTCGCCGTCAAAACAAACATTCAACCTCGCCGTCGAACAAACATCCAACCTCGCCGCCGGACAAAATATAATCTGAAAACGAACATTCAACCTCGCCGCCGA